CTCTTGCAAACTTTTAGTTGTTTTCAATCTGAGTCGATTTTGTCTGAAGCTTAGCACATCTTAATTGGTAACTATAGTTCTTCCAAATATCTCTTATAAAAGCTTGTGCTCCTATGAGCTCAAGTTGTTTTATTTTACTAGAGATGTGGAAGTATTTTAATGCCTAGTTGAGGACAACAAAAGTAGGGAATGGTATTTATTTACTTTATTTTTTAAAAGTTTTGAAAAAAAAAATTTTAATCATACTGTTTCAATAAATTAAAAGAGGATGGAGCTATAGTTAGACAAGGGATTTTTGGAAAACCTCACTCTTCTTGTATCTTTCTTTCTAGTGAGGATGTTTGACAATTTTTTTGGGTTTTTTAGACTTTCTTTTACACATAAAAACATGTAGCTAAATATTTTTTTTAAACATCACGTAGCTAAATATTTATCGTTAAAAGTCCAAGGAACATATACATTCCCAAAGTTACAATCACTTTAATTCTTCTAACTTCCTAAGGCAATGTGTAATATTTGAATTTTAGTTTTGATTTTGTAAATCTCAATTTCTAATTAATTAGATATAAGTTGATGGCAAAAAAAATTAAGATTAAGTTAAAATGCAATCACATTGATTTTTTTTTTTTTTGGCCATTACTATTTTAGATCATCAATTAGACTTCCTTTTTATTTTTATTCAAAAAAATTCAGGCCCCTCGCATAGATTCCTGACTTCATTTATAAAAAAAAGTCTAGCTCTTTTTAAATATTTTTATCTTATTATTTAAATTTAAAATTCCTAATTTAAAAGTTGAATGTTTCAAAGTATAACTCGATAGCTTGATCATAATTTAATAGGGAAATTTCCTTGAAAGGATTGATAACTATATATAAAGGATTAATGTCAACACGTCTCTTTGGCTAAAAAATAGTTCCAACAAGTCACATCGATAAATGATGTTGCGGGGCTCTGATGTTTAACCCTTCACTCTTTTTCCAAATTGTGCTACATGTCTGATGGTGATATGAAGTCCAGGTCACCTGTTTCATTTTTTTGCCATCAAGTCAAGGTCTCCTAACATAATAGGAGTAGTTTTTACGCCATGTTGGAAGGGAATATTTAATTTAGTTCGCCGTAACATTTTTTCCCATCTAAACATAATATATTTAGAAGAAGTGGCCTTCTCAACTTCCTTTTGATGGTATACATTAAAATTTATATTATATTTTTTAGTAAAAATTTATTTATATATAAATTTTATATATTATATTTATATAAAATTTTAATTATTTATTTTTTTTATTTTTAATAATTAAGATTTATTATAATTTTTTAAATTAAAAAATAATTATTTTTAATAAATATAATAAAAAGTAAATAAATTTTAATTATTAAAAATAAAAAAATAAATAATCAAAATTTTATATAAATATTATATGTAAAATTTATATATAAATAAATCTCTACTCCTTTTATATTAGAATAATAATTATATTTTGATATCTTTCTTCATGTTTGATTTCCAGCAAATGAAAGGGAGGGAAGACAATAACATTCCATTTTCCTCAGTTTTTCTTTTCTCCCTTTCCCTCATTTGATTATGTTAAAATTATAAAGAAAATTAAAGGGAATCTCCTCTCCTTCCCTTCCCTCAATTTTTGTTATTTAAGTAAAAAAAATTATGTCCATATCTTCTCAAACCAAATAAGTTATTAAGAAAAAGAAAAAAAGAAAAAAAAGAGATTATTTTGTGATATCAGGGTTGAAGCAATAGCTCTTGCAAACTTTTAGTTGTTTTCAACCGGAGTTGATTTTGTCTGAAGCTGACCACATCTTAATTGGTAACTACAATTGTTCCACCTACCTCTTATAAAAGCTTGTGCTCCTATGAGCTCAAGTTGTTTTATTTTACTAGAGATGTTTTTAAAACTCTCTGAAGTATTTTAATGCCTAGCTTAGGACAATAAAAGTAGGAATAATATTTATTCACTTTATTTTTTAAAAGTTAATTATGAAAAAAATAATTTTAAAATTATATTATTTCAATAAACTAATAGAGGATGGAGCTATAGTTAGACAAGGGGTTTTGGAAAACTCCACTCTTCTTGTATCTTTCTTTCTCATGAGGGTGTTTGACCAAATTTAAAAACTTTTTATATAAAAAGTAAATTCTTTTATAAATTTAAAATTTTGTTAAAAAATTTAAAAATTAACTTTCATAATCACTTTTAGGTAGATTTTTAAAAAATTATACATACAAGTTTTTTTAAAACATGTTTAAAATTACATTTAAAAGTCACTTTTTGATTTTTCTTTAATAAAATTTTAAATTTATAAAAAACATTTATTTTTAAATATTTTTTAAACTTTACTAAACACCCTCATAAAAAACCTTTCATTTATTTTGTTCGACCTCTTAACTTTAATCATAACAATTGTCATTAGTTTTTTCATTAGTCTTAACCTTTAAATTCAAACTGAATGTTGCCATGACATTTAGTGAGTATATAAGTGCTTGAGACTCATTAAACCTAGAAAAAGCCTTTTAACTTCTAATTTTCTAATCAAAATGAAATGATTGACAAAAAATTCATCTTCTGACGTATCTCCTCTGGTTTCTTGATCTCTACACTACTCGAGAAGCCATAGATTGTTACCTTTGCAGTATGAACAGTTGAGAATATTCAACGCCTCAAGATTGTTTTTACTATATAGCTCAAAGCTGAAAGCATTACTCCTAAACCCAAAATTTTATATTGGGTCGTATTTTCTTTATTTTGTCAATTATTGGTATTTTTATTTCTTAAAATTAATTTATTTGTGACATAATGCGATATGTTCATTGCTAAAAGTCTAAAGGACATTTATATTTTATTCTAACTAGACCGAACTCTATATTTATTCTCTAAGTACAGAAATTGAGATAAATTTATCCTCTAATTAAATATAAAGATAAATTATTTCTCTAACAAATTAATTTGAATAAATAACTTTAAATTTAACTACAAATATTAAATGATGGGTTTTCTTATACTATACAATTAAGACATAAGTTAAAAGTATAATGAATATATTTTTTATAATTAATTTATATAAAATAATAATAATTTATTTAAATTTAATTAATTAATTAAAATTATTTATGTGAAAATAATAATAAAATAAAAATTAATTATTAGTATCTTTTATATAAATTAATTATAAAAATATATATTTATTAAATTTTTAACTAATATTATAAAAATAAAAATTAGACAAATGCTATATCTTTCCATTATTGTCAACAAAAAAACCAAAAAAGAAAAAAAAAGAAAAAAAAAGAAAAAAAAAAAAAAAAAGACACGCAAACTAAAAAGTAACGGAAAGCTAAGGATTTTTTTGCACCCTGTTTCAACGTCTTGCTCAGCACAATACGCATCCAGAACTGAAATAGCGGGGCACTAATGTTCTCGTTTCGCTCCTTCTCGGGTACAATCTTCAAACCCGTCTCTCGAAGGGTAAAAACAAATTTACTTTAAAAAAAAAAAAAGGGTTCAATTTTTTTTTAATTTTTAAATATTATATAGGAATTAGTTGGCAACTATTTTGCTTACTCGGAAATTTTGTAAATAAATATTTTAGTGATTGGGATCCACATAGCATTTCAGGTTAGCATATTTTTTAAATATTATTAAGAGTATGTCCTACTTAAAAACTAATGTCATT